CAGAAAGTGTACATACCTTGGGAAAAACAGATACAAATGCACAATTTATAAAGGAATCCAAATTAAAAGTTCCTGTGCATGTCATAGGAAGACAGTTATTAAAACTGGAAGAACACATCTACTCTGGCTGCAGCTGAACTAAATTAATACTTGGCTGCCCCCTCAAACCTGCTGGAATACATGCATGCCTGGTTACTCCTTCAATTAGTTCTGTAAAACCAGCACACAATAGCTGTAGTAATAAACTTCTCCTACTCTGCAATGTCATTATCACCTAAGAAAAAAAGCTTCTTTTTAAGTTGTGTATCAAAGAAGTGTTGATACACCTTACTAAATTTCTAGAAGACATCTATGCCTTCATCCATACTTCAGAAATAAACTATTTCCTACAGCTGGTTGAAGCAATTGCTCAGATTACTGTCCCTCATAACAGGTATATGGATTTTTTTTTTTTTCCGCTCTCTGTTTCTGCACTGTAGAATACAGCAGAACAACATGCCAATGGCCAGTACTCATGCAGCTCCAAGAAAAAGGCAGCAATCACTCTCACAGGTTTTAAACAGATCTAACTTTTAACCTGGAAAGCACGTATATATCCTCATCTAACTTGAAAAATGAAAGCTCCCATGACCCTTTTTGTGACCCAGCTAGAACAGCAGTCAAAATGGGAAGTGCAGTATTCCTCCTGCCCTTGAACAATCTTCAAACTACTGCTTAAAATTAAAATATTTATGAATATTAAAAGTCTTATGAACAGAAGAAAAATCTATAGCAAACCTGACTAATCACTGTGTTTACAAATTACTGATCAAACACTCGGAGCATTTATAAAATGCCTTCAAGCAGAAGGAACTTTTCTGGAAAAGCATTTTATTTCAAGTGCCATATGAGCAACAGCTGGTATGAAATAGCACTTGTATTCTCTGCTCATCTTCCTTCTCATCAATAAATTATTTTACAATAGGTACTATTTTGAGACTATTACACTAATTTTTTCCAGATGCCATCACAAGACAGGAAGCAAACTGTACCTCCGAGTCACGTAGAAAAATTACTTTGCAGAATTTGCATCATGGTTACTGAAGTAGACCAGGAAATCCTGCTCTCACTTCCATCACTGAAATGGTCTGCAACAAATGTGATGTAGGAAAACTCAAGAGTTGAAGCAAATACAGGTGATTCAGAAAACCAGGCTACAAAGGCCTAACTTAAAATTAAAGGTTGATGAGTGCAGGTTATGCTTGACACAAAGAATATTGGTAAATTTCATGCCAGTTTTATTTATATGTCACTAGAAAGTGTTTTACCACCTACTAGTGTTTTACAGGGAGTAGCACAAATGACAAGCATTTGCCCAGATGAGAGCTTCTGGTACTTTACCACCCTGATGTAACTGACATGCAGCAAGGGAGAAGAGTTGAGGCTGCTCCAGGAATGTCAACTCTGAATTTCTTTGTTTTCTTACAATTAAGATTTCAAGACCTCATGTAATTCACTACACCAGCCAAGATGTCTGTGCAGCCCTAAGAGATTGGAAACTTCGCTCAACCCTGGAAGCAAAGGTACTTCCCTAACCCATAATCCTAAGAGCACCCAGAAATTTCTTAAGGATCTAAAGAAAACAAAGGATTCCTGCGAGGAATCCTTTAGTGTCACTACCTACTTCTGTACTTGTTCTATGGACATAACAATGACTTCAGTCTCCAGGGCTGGAAAGACAGCATCCCAAAATGTACGTTTTTTTAAACCCGTATTTTAATAATGTTTCTTACAGTATCTTACAGGTGGGAAGCTGCAAGATACAACCAACACACACTGAAATGAAGATCTAGTCCGTAAGGATTGTGTTGAACAAGACTGAAAGCTCTCATATATCCCAATAAATACTTCCCAAAAAAACCTACCTCAAAATTTAAAAAAAACACACCCAAACAACAAACAAGCTGGATTTTTTTTAAGAAGAAAATTATTACTTTTTTCTCTCACATTGCAAGGCTTTCAGATAAGGTGCTGAGGGGAGGGAAATTAGATGATCCTACCCAGAGGCAAGCATCATGTACAGTACCTTGGAAAAAAACAGGGAAAAATATTACACAAGTCAGCTGGCTCAGCAAGGATTAAGAAATACCTTGATAAACAGCTAGTGATATGAAAGGCAAAGCGTTTGGCTCCAGCTCAGAAACGTAATTACTCCCATCTGGGCACACAAAAGCCGAAGAAGGGCTACGGTTCACATGGCACAGGAAAATTTTCACAGTCTTACAGTCTTTCATAGCTACATCGGGTGGATGCACACCAAGTACTAATTAGGCCAATGGTTAAAAGTATAAAAGACTATAAACAGCGTTCTCACAGGGTACAGGTGTGCATCCCAGCAATGCACAAAGCCGATGGAATTGGAGAACAAACTTTTTAAAATTGTTGTGCTACTGTGAAATGCCACTGCTACAGATGGGCCTTTACAGAGCACTTCTTTTCCTCACGCATCCATATAGCTGACTAAACAGTCAACCACAACGGAGCTTTATAACGGGTTTCTTCAACAACCCCGACATTTGGAAAAAGCCACCAAACTTTCAAAAATACAACAGCAAATCTTGTATTCAAAAAACCACTGTAGAGTAAGAAAAAGCATTTGCCCATTCTCACGAATACAGTCAAATCTCCTTTCAGGGCACAAGGCTTGAGTCAAGAAAGGTTTGCTTTCACTGGGAAAACATTATTCTGCTATTTTTCTTGCTGACTGCTTGTTTTATGTGGGTGGGGTAATGTTTTTATTGTTCTGGACTGCATTTTAATTGATGGCAGAGCGCCTGGAGTTTGGGATTGGCACCTCTTCCATTGTTTTTGTTGAGATAAATAAACATATTTCCTCCCTTTTTTAAAAAAATAAAATATGTGCCATACGCTCAATTGCTAAAAGCAAAGCAGGCTGCTACAAAAAAAAACCCACCAAATCCATACAAACTAAACAAACAAAAGCTTTCAGATGGCACAATTGATCTACCAAAATCCTGCTGCAAGGAGTTCACCACCCAAAAGCCTCATCCTTGCTCATTACTCTCTGAAAAACCCTCAAAGACCAAGAAGCAGAGAGATGATGGTGGAGGCCAGCAGTGCTGTTCAGTGGCTAAATGTCTGTGTAATTCTAAGGAGACTGAAGATCACATTTTGGCCTCCATCTCAAGCACCAACAACTACGAGGATGGAAGCCTGCTAAACAGGTGAGGTGTGTTCTCAAGAGGAAAAAAAAAAAGCAGATTAAGAAAAGCTTGAAAAGGATTATTAAAGATTTTAGTTCAGTACTCAATGCAGAGTCACTGAAGCAACTGCAACAAAGAAGGGAGATAAAGAGTGGTCTATCCAGGCAGACATGGCTATGCTAAAAAAAAAAAAACACCAAAAAACTCAATCTCCCTCCCCAAACAAAAAACTAAATCTGTAAGTATAGCCTTATATTAATGCAGAACTCCAAAATCTGAAGTTCTTATTCACAAGAGTGTGAAAGCAGCACCTATATCAATACTCAAAACCATCACAGAGCAGCCATCATCTAAAGCATCTTCAGGGCACTTTAATGGAAATATGCTGTTACTGAAGCTGCCAAAATAAGATTTTTTTTTTATCCTACAGAAACATACATGATCTATGTTTTCTGACTGAGCAATTAGAAAATTACCCTGCTACAGTCTGACAGAAAGAAAAAAAGGTCCTACTTTTTGCTCTGCTATTGATTCAATGCCTAATACAATAGTTGTTGGCACTGGTATCACTTCAATGTTCTTCTGCTATTCCAGGGGAGAAAAAAAAGGAAGAAAATAAAAGAACCACATACATACATGCCCCCCTCTCTGCCCCCAAAAAAAAAAAACACAACACAACAAACAAGCAAGCTGGAATTATTTAAGGAGAAATAAAGTGTCAGCACCAAGCTAAATTGTTCTCATTATCCAAAGAATTTTAAAAATACTTTAATATTACACTTGCATGAAAATTGTAGCTCCTTCATGCCAGGCAGTGTTTCAGCATGCTCCCCAAGTGCACACAAACAAAAAACATATGACAAACTGTTGTCTCCCAACTGATTAAAGTATTTCTTCCTGGCACAGAAAAGCACTTAGTTAACTGCTGTGAGTTTGGGCCAACAGAAGTATTCCACCCACTACCAAGCACAAAGTTCAAACCTGAACACAAATACGCTTCAAAACGTGCAGCTTCTGAAATACAAAAAGAGTATGTTTGAGTAACTTGTTTTCAACTCTGAGCTACTTGGTGAGTCTAAAGATCAGATAAAGAGTTGGATGAATCCAGCTACACTGTGTCTCTCTTGAGCATGTCTGGAAAAAGTGGAATGTGTTAAAATACTTCTTTCCAAAACATCATTAACAGCAATAAAGCCACA